TCCCGCAACTAACTCATTAGTTGCAATGCTTGCAAGGCTTAAGTGATGTGCATTACCGAGAGGGCCCAGAGATACCTCTCCGACGATCGGAGTGACAAATCCTAATCTCGAAATACGTCAACCCAACATGTACCTTTGGAGACACCTGTAGAGCACCTTTATAATCACCTAGTTACGTTGTGACGTTTGGTAGCACACAAAGTGTTCCTTCGGCACACGGGAGTTACATAATCTCATAGTCATAGGAACATGTATAAGTCATGAAGAAAACAATAGCAACATACTAAACGATCGGGTGCTAAGCTAATGGAATGGGTCATGTCAATCAGATCATTCAACTAATGATGTGATCCCGTTAATCAAATGACAACTCTTTGTCCATGGTTAGGAAACATAACCATCTTTGATTAACGAGCTAGTCAAGTAGAGGCATACTAGTGACACTCTGTTTGTCTATGTATTCACACATGTATTATATTTCCGGTTAATACAATTCTAGCATGAATAATAAACATTTATCATGATATAAGGAAATAAATAATAACTTTATTATTGCCTCTAGGGCATATTTCCTTCAGAATCACCATGTTCGTAGTCAGCACGGTCGTTGGCCTCCTCATCGGGCACGTACTGGGCGCGGCCATCCTGACTTTGGGTCTTTTCGGGGTCGTAGGCACGGCCATGCCCACCCTGGAAGATCACGTCCTCCATGTACTGGTTCTAAAAGGGGTCGTCCACCGTCGACGTTGAGGTTGGCATTCCGTCAAACAACACGCGGGGGGTCGGCATGGTGCCCGTGAACGGTGCACGCGCCTGCTTTCTTTGCATCTCGACGGACGGCCGCCCGCCACTGCTGGACCCAGGCGTGACGTTGAGGTCGATGACGGCCGCGGGGCATGGTGTGGACGGCGCGAACAAGCCCACGTCCGGCGACGCCGAGAAACAGGTCTGGCCGTCGTGCCTGGGCGGAGGAAAGCCGGGCGACATGGGCGCGGCGCGCGACGTCGGCGACTGGCAGTGCGTAGGCCGGGCGACCGACGAGCCTGTGCTCGCCGGGCCGACGGCCGCTGCATGGAACCCCGCCGGACGGCCCATGCCAAGCATGAGGATGGCATGCGCTTTGTTGACGAGGTCCTCCTTCTCGTCGGCAGCGGCCTTGCGCCGCGCGGCCTCCAGCTCCTCGCGCTGGGCGGCAAACTTGGCCGCGGTGGCATTGATCTTGACGGCCGCTCTCCGTTCCCTCCTCTTCGCCGATTCCGCGTCCAACTTGGCGATCTCCTCCGGCGTGCACTCCGACCGCGGCTTCCTTGGCGCCTTCTTCTTCACCTTTGCGGTCGGGTCGACGGCCAGGCCGCCGGAACTCGGCGGGGCGTCGGCCATGGACGGGGGAGAGAGGGGGCGGCGGGAGGGACGTGGGAGGGTTTGGGGGAAATGGCGCCAAATGGGCGTGGGGGGTTGGTTTCTTCCACCGACAGGCGGGCCAGGGAAGGACAAGCGCGCGCGTCCCGCCCGTCCGCGCGCTGTCCGTTTCACCCCAAAACTGGCGCAACTTTGGGCCGGGGATGGGTCGAAAGCGGACACAAAGCGGACAAAAGTCCGTTTGCGCCCGCGCGTTGGGCCTTCTCGTTTGTCCCTTTTATTTCAAACGGACGGAGGCGGACAGGATAAGGTCGCGCGATGGAGTTGGCCTTGATGGCCTATCTGGTAGACTACATACTACCCAGGCAGCCCCACGTGATGCAGTTTTGGCCAACTCCTATTTGACCGCGGCTGAGCCGGTTACAGTCTTTTCAGTAAAAGGCACCCCCACCCCCCTCCTAGAATGGGCCGACCCACCATTTAGGCATGAGAGGGAAGCTCGCGGTTTTGGGAAGCTTCCGACCGATTTTCCTTTTTCTCTTTTTTGGGTTTCTGGACGGTTTTCATTTGGTTTTTTCTTTTACCTTTTATTTTCTGTTCCTTTTCTATTTTTTTCCTTTTTCTAAAAAAATACGTGATATTTTTTGAATTTTTTGTGAACGGTCTCCCTTAAATTCATGACTTTTTCCCCCTCAAACATGTGAACACTATTTTCTAAATTTTTGAAAAAAAATCTCAGAATCATGAACTTTTTTCAAATCCGTGAAACATGCATTTTTATTAAATTCATGAAAATTTTCAAATGCGTGAGTTTTATTTTTGAACTCGTGATTTTTTTCCCAAATCCATGAACTTTTTTGTTGAACTCATGAATTTTTTTTGAACTCGACTATTTTGAGTTCGTGAACAGTTTTTTTAAAATTCCTGAATTTATTTAAATGCATATTGGTACCGATTGGGCTTAAGGAAGGCAGCCAAAGGCCTTCTAATTTTGGTACCGATGACGTCATCCTGGATGGTGGTAAATGATGAACCTACCCTTTAAAAAAATAAAAAATATTGCAAGTACTGATCCCACATAATTTTGGTACCAGTCCAACAGGTACCTCCTATTTTACCACCGTTAAATTGGGGTGGGTGAACGGCTCCAAAATTGCCAACAACTATAAAACTTGTAAATAGTGCTCCCTCCGATTCTCTTTAGTCTGCATATAACTCACATCACACATACCAAGGAGTGCTACTAGAAATTGATTTCGGATGGAATCACCCCTGCGCTGGATGAATTGCAACGACCTGAAAAGGCTGCAAAGCGATAATCACGCGAGGCAGTTAATTGGCCCGTCCGCCTCATTTCTCCTGCATATTTCTCTGCATGGCTGTTATTGGCCCATCCTCCTTTGCATGCGCTGCATGCGTGGCCGGAATTAATGCACAAGAGGAGGCAGCCTTGCATGCAGTGATGAAAAGTAGGGATAGATTTGGAAGAAATCGCTACAAATCTGGATCACGCAGAGCATTGCGGAAAAAACAAGAAAAACTTATGCGCAGACTAAATGGGATCGGAGGGAGTACTGGGAGTACTCCTTCTGTCTTAAAATAAGTGTCACTGATTTATTACAGAGTTAGTATGACTTTATATTAAATGAACGACACTTACTTTGGGACGAAAAGAGTACATGCTTGGTTTGTTTTAAGTCAAACTTTATAAACTTTGACTAAGTTTATAAAAAAAGTATAAACATCGACAATGCAAAATCAATATCATATTCATCATTGGATATATTTCCATCATATATATTTGTTAACGCAAATGTTCATAATGTTTTCTACAAACCCGGTCAAAATATATAAAGTTTGACTTAAGACAAAGCTAATATACAGAATAAATAAAAGCAAAGGGAGTATCTTCCTAATTATGCTTCTAAACCTTATAAGAGGCTCCAGTTTGTACTGAACATTCGGTTTTACGTTGTAAGATGATATGTGTACTTCCGTAACCAATGGGAGATGATAGCATAGGATACATACAACCAGTTTGGATGGTGATTCGATAGTAGGCTATCTGTGTAAGCATTTATTCCTATTTTCGCCGGTTGTGGCTTGTTTATTTGTCATTCATGTACTTAAGTACCGGAGCTTGATACTTGAACTCTAATGAATATATGGTTGTGTGCATTGTAATGTGCACCAAGTCAAACTATATAAAAAAAGTGCACTTTTTGCCGAATTACACCATGACAAACCGAAAATCTGCATCTGAGCACGGGCTCAGCTGCACCCGCTCAAAAAAAAATTCAAAAAAAATACTAGAAAATCCAAAAAAATCCAAAACAAAATTTTATGTGGTAGATCATTTGATGCTTGAGATCCGCTCCAAATTTCAACTCATTTGAACATCTGAGCAATTCTGGACAAAAAAGACAAATCAGGTTAAAACAGTTCCTGAACAGTAAACTGTTTTACAGACCCTGATTTTGTCTTTTTTTCCCAGAGCTCCTCAAAGGTCCAAATGAGTTGAAATTTGGACCGAACCTCACGCATCAAATTATCTACCACATAATTTTTTTTGGAATTTTTTGAATTTTTCTAGTTTTTTTTTTGATTTTTTCCGTGAGCGCGGGTGCAGCTGAGCCCGGATGCAGATTCGCCGCACTCCAAACATGCTATTTAAATCAATTTTTCTGCATATTTACTTTGCTGGTTATACGTGTTGATTTAGTACATATTCTTGGAAATTTGGCATAAAAGAAGCAAAGAAACAAAGTGAAGTTGAAAAATCTGCCTGGTTTTCAGGCCGGTGATGGTGAGCTTTTTTTTTTTGAGCATCAGTACAGCCACAAGCGCTCATATACACGCGCATACACTCACCCCTATGAACACATATCATCTTGAGATTTACGAAGTCACCGTAGGCGCCTCGTCGTCGACGGGAACGTCTCCTCCCACTGAAAGCGCATCGCGTGAAATCCTGAAATAAATTCAGGAATAATGCGAGCACCAGGATTTGAACCTGGTGGGTTGGGAATACCACTGTCCACCTAACCAACTCAACCACAGGGTGATTGTGAGCTTGTAAACTGGGATGTCGTATGCATGCATCAACGTAGGTGCACCGAAGACAGAGATCTAGCGTATGCTTTCCCTCTGTCCATTGAAACTTTAAAAGGCATTTTGCACGGCAAGACTTCATATGTGTAGGGGCAGCCATTGATTGCAATGCGATGCTAAACAAGGGACAACCTTGCAAGGAAGAGCTATACAATCTGACAGACTTTCCAAAACCTAGCGCCTCCAAAATATACTGACATTACGCTGACCAGAATTCACGGTGTTGTGTTCAGAAAGAGAGGAGCAGAATTGGTGCATTAGCGCATACACTATTTTAGGTAGGTATTACCGCTCATGTCTGATGCGGTTCAAGAGCTCCGGAAGAGGATGATGATTTGTTTACACAAGCAATTGCTAGTCAACCACACACATAAGAAGGTGACCCACACACTCTTGGCAGATGCATTCTGTCTTGTTTTTACGACCAACGATTGAAACAGATAAATAGCGCTTCTGCGGTGAATTCCTCCTCCCATGGACCCATTCTACATGATACTGACTAATTTGTTGCTTCTGCTCGATCAAAATGGTTAATCATCCTCCTCGGGAATGAAGTCCCTAACCTTCACATCGGCGTCTTCCCCGTACTGGATGCAGTTGTCGATGTTTGACAGCACATACTGAATGCTGCAAAAGCAAGGATGGTCAGGGATACGAAAAAACACAACCAGGTAGATAAATCTGCCATGGAAATTTTGTATCAGCATGGCAAATGGAAGTGCTACACTTCAACGTTGCTCAAGTGTTTTGTTTCACTGCAGCACTATACTTGAAATTTAACCACCTATAGCACATAAATTTCAACTCAACAATCATCTCAAGTGGAAATTTTATCCCAGTGCTCATTCCATAATTATTACTACTATTTTCCAGAAAGACCAGACAAATACTCACTCTGTAAAGAAATATAAGAGCGTTTAGATCACTAAAGTATAAGAGTGTTTAGATCACTACTTTAGTGATCTAAATGCTCTTATATTTCTTTACGGAGTGAGTATATGACAGCAAAAAAATGGAACAACAGCACAAAAGTAGAAGAGCAAATTGTAAGTGTGCTATTATACCACCACCCCACCAAAAATTTGAATCTGGCAAGGAGGGAATGTGTCTTCCAGCTAGATGTTAAAGTTGCATCCACAAGCGTACTAGTAGAAGTAGCATGTCTAAGGATCAGAAACTCAAGTGGCAATCGATCACTTGAGCAGAAAAGAAGGAATGCTTAGGGTGTAAAGAGGGGCTGAGATTTTAACTAAACTAAGAAAACAAACAGGAATACCTGCTCTCCTTCCTCAAATCAAGTGGTATGAAATTCACCATGTTGTAATCATCAACCTACATGATAGTAGTGCTGACATCAATATTGGAGGCAGAGACACAATATTAGAGTAAATTGCCTACCAAAACAGGATACAGAGCTTTCCTTAAGAAACAATTTTCATCAGAAACGTAACAGTTCAAAGCAAGAGATACACATCCGGCAATTATGAATTTATGAAATAACAAAAACATAGTTGACCACAATATATTGACAGTCATAGGGCTTCATAAAGCATGAGATTTTTTATTTAGTTTACAGGTTCATGGAAAGCATACCAGTTCAGCTAAAGCCTTGTTTAACTTGTGAAACCGAGGTGCCATCTGCCGATTCAGCTGTGACAGAAGAACCTGTGCCTCGGGGTTCAGATAACTAAAACAGAAAAACATCATCAGTAAAAAAAGGGCAACCTTAAAATGTTACAGCTAAGTATGGGAGAAAAAAATTAAAGAGAACATACTCTTCTACATCTTTTTTATTGGAAACCAGGTCCATCTTTGAAAGGATGTTGATATGAGGAAGCTCAAGTTGAATCATAGCAGAAAGAGAAGCCATGCAACCGCTAATGTATTTTGTGACATCACTGACAAACTGTACCAAGAAAAACAAACAGATATCAGTCTGGAGTGTGAGTTCAGTGTTGTCGTAAGGAAAACTATATTAATGATCCAAACCTGCGAATCCAAAAGGTACACAGCGCAAACAGTGAAATTTTTCCGTTTCAGATACTCAACAAAGTTGCGCAGAACTGGAACATGAGTGAAGAGTTCAATCTGGCCTGCGAAAGCAAGATGTGGAACCTTGGGTTAACACTGCTTTCATGTAATGTTAAGCAATCTAGGTATCTCAGGTATTTCATAAAATAAGACATGCTACAGAACCACATAAGAGATAGGTAAAGATGGCACCATGTACACAGTAGTGCATAACTTTTACATAAGAAGTAAAAGGAAATTCATTACGTTAGGCCCATGTAGGTGGTAAGAATAGTAGGTGACATGAAATAGTCCAACTAACTAACAAGATATAATTAGAGTATGCAAACATGCATTAAGAATATTACCTGGACAATCAAACACAAGATAGTCATCATCCAAGTAGTTCTCCAATTGTTCATCCAACCAATCATCCAAATTGTCTTCAAGGTGCCTAAGGGTTTCTTAAGGAAATAACAACTGCCAGCATAAGATCCTAAAATGATACTCCCTCCGTTCACAAATATAAGATGTTCTAGCTTTTGTGAATCGGATGTATATAGACATGTTTTAGTGTGTTTGTTCACTCATTTCACTCCATAAGTAGTCCATACTGAAATATCCAAAACATCTTATATTTGTGAACGAAGGGAGTAGTTTTTATGCCAATAAAGAATATTCACATCCTCTTCAAATTGCATAAAATGAGTTCAGCCAGAATTACAAACAGAGCTCTTAACTCACTAATAAAATTCACAGCATGGCAATGTCATTCAATCCAAAGTGTGAAAGGCAGCATCCATGCAAATGACTTCAACAAATGGAGCAGCAAACTGAAACTATAACTTAGCGTCATGGTATCTACTATCCAGATAACAAATCATGCAGGTACAACAAAATTATTTGCTCCTGGAGCATCTACATGTAACTTTTGCTGGTGAAAACAACACAGAAGGCGGTTCAATTCTAGATATAACAAAGTATATGCGCAAACACCACACAAAGATGTAATGAAGTATGATCTAGATGATGCACCCGTTTTAACTGCTGCGAAAGTAGATCTTCCAGACTAACATGTAATAAATCTACTAGCATCCAGCAGTGAAATGTTCGATATGCCATAAGGGGTCCCTTCATAACCAAATAGCTTGGAAGACAAGTAGACAGCAATCAACAACAAATTAACATGCTTTCAAACAACAGGATACTCCATGCAATAGATGAGGCCGCCATTTGGTCCCATCCCAAGCTCCTCCATGACATCATCCAGTGATATGAGCTCTCTAATATCTATAAAAATACCAAACAGAGGTGAGTAAGAGCCCTATGTAAAAGATGTGCACAACAGCATGCAAGTAGTCTTACCAGTAGATACAGGATAGCTGAAGTGCTCTGCAGCTGGATCCAGGTTGACCATATGAATCCTCCTGCCCACCGTCTCGCAATGTTGATACAGACCAGAGCAGTAGGTCGACTGCATATGATTAACAACTGATAAGAAAACACTACGTATTTCTCAGCTTCTCTGTAACCATACTCTAACCTCCCGTGCAAGTGCGACCCACTCCAATCAGTCAAATTACTTGGAATATACATACAATATGTATATAGGTATAATCAAATAGCAGATGAGTACTGGTACATTACTTGGTCTGAAATCACGTCTAAACAGGGACCAAACCACATCAAGCATGGCACAAACTTGGTATTAGAACAAAGCAGGAGTGCAACCATGCAAAATAAGCAGCGGCAGAAGCAGAATCCTAGTTGGCCAGAGCGACGAACCAATCCGTCCCCAATCAAATTAAAGCTGGAGATTGAGTTAAGCACGGAGCGAAAGAGGGAGCGGGCGGGAAACGGAGACAATCACCTTGCCGCTGCCGGCGGGGCCGATGACGAGCTGCGCGAAACCCATGGTCGGCGTTGGGCTGCCGAAGGACTGGGGAGGAGGGGCGGGGTAGGGTTTACAGAGGGGGCTGCTTGGGGCGGGAGGAGAAAGAGAGGACTAGAGGACTGAGGAAACGGCGGCGACGACGTAGGCAGGGGAGAGGGGGCGGCGGGGAGTACGGTCGGGGACCCGCGACGGGCGACGGCCGTCGAGGTGAGTAGCGGGCTGTCGGCGGCAGGTGAGGGCGGACCGCGGCGTGAGTGGCGGCGGTGACGGCGTGAAGGGAGGGGCGATTCTGGCGCTGACCGCTCACATAGCGGCATATAGCCGCCTCAACGGTACACTTTAGTGGCCCGGCCCACTAACTCAAATTTATTTATATTTCTTAAATTATAAAAATCGAATTCATAAACAAAACTTAAAAAATTTATAATTCGGTTTATGATAATATAAAGGTCACATATACGCAAATAATGTCCGTGAAACTGAAGATAAATGTTCATGTATTTAAAAAATTACTCCCTCAGTTCCTAAATATAAGTCTTTTTAAAGATTCAAATGCGGACTACAAACGGAGCAAAATGAGTGAATCTACACTTCTAGAAAGACTTCTATTTAAGAATGGAGGGAATATTTATGAAGCTGAATATAAGTGTTCATATATTTAAAAAATGTAAATATCATACTTAAGAAATGTTCCCGCATACAAAAACAAATATTCACATTTTGAAACCCAAATCATACAATTTGGAATGTTTTTTATTTCCGTGAGAATATATGTTAATGTAATTTAAAAGTCATTCTTGTATTTTCTAACAAGAATATACAAGACATAAAGTAAAAAAAATCAGCTTGCTAAAACATCTTATATTATGGCACAGAGGGAGTATAACATAACTTCGTGAGCAAGTGAGCACATATGAGCACAGGTTTGTCCAATATATCAAATATAATTGATCGCTCGTGTGGGCCTTCCCCACGGCCCATGACTTGAGCGCACATGAGCACAGGATCACAGGTTGTCAAGAGCAACTAATCAACGAGTACTCCTTCGGGAGGCCCCCAAGGGTCACATTGGATGGGCTAGGAGAGCACCATTTAGCATTTTTCCCGTGAGAGATATGAATTTACTTTTCATGGAGACACGGATTTGCTTCTGCCAATCGTGACTCTCGGAAACCTTCCGCGAGAGGTATGGATTTACTTCTTGTGGAGGCACAGGTTTGTTTAGGCACAGTCGTGTTGGAAATATGCCCTAGAGGCAATAATAAAATGGTTATTATTATATTTCCTTGTTCATGATAATTGTCTATTGTTCATAATAATTGTCTATTGTTCATGTTATAGTTGTGTTATCCGGAAATCGTAATACATGTGTGAATGCATAGACCACAACATGTCCCTAGTGAACCTCTAGTTGACTAGCTCGTTGATCAATAGATGGTTACGGTTTCCTGACCATGGACATTGGATGTCATTGATAGCGGGATCACATCATTAGGAGAATGATGTGATGGACAAGACCCAACCCTAAGCATGTCACAAGATCGTGTAGTTCGTCTGCTAAAGCTTTTTTAATGTCAAGTATCATTTCCTTAGACCATGAGATTGTGCAACTCCCGGATATCGTAGGGATGCTTTGGGTGTGCCAAACGTCACAACGTAACTGGGTGGCTATAAAGGTGCACTACGGGTATCTCCGAAAGTGTCTGTTGGGTTGGTACGAATCGAGACTGGGATTTGTCGCTCCGTGTGACGAAGAGGTATCTCTGGGCCCACTCGGTAGGACATCATCATAATGAGCTCAATGTGATCAAGGAGTTGATCACGGGATGATGTGTTACGGATCAATAAAAAGAGACTTGCCGGTAACGAGATTGAATAGGAATACCGACGATCGAATCTCGGGCAAGTATCATACCGGTAGACAAAGGGAATTGTATACTGGATTGATTGAATCCTCGACATCATGGTTCATCCGATAAGATCATCGTGGAACATGTAGGAGCCAACATGGGTATCCAGATCCCGTTGTTGGTTATTGACCAGAGAGATGTCTCGGTCATGTCTGCATGCCTCCCGAACCCGTAGGGTCACACACTTAAGGTTCGATGATGCTAAGGTTATAGGGAAAGTTTGTACGTGGTTACCGAATGTTGTTCGGAGTCCCGGATGAGATCCCGGATGTCACGAGGAGTTCCGAAATGGTCCGGAGGTAAAGAATAATATATAGGAAGTGAGGTTTTGACCACCAAAAGTGTTTGGGGCGTCACCGGTAATGTACCGGGACCACCGGAGGGTTCCGGGGGTCCGCCGGGAGGGGCCATCAGCCCCGGAGGCTTGCATGGGCCAAGAGTGAAAAGGGACCAGCCCCTGAGTGGGCTGGTGCGCCTCCCACCAGGGCCCAAGGTGCATCTAGGAGGGGAAAAGGGGGAAACCCTAGGCGTAGATGGGCCTAAGGCCCACCCTAGGGCGCGCCCCCTCTCTTCCCCTCTTGGCCGCCCCCCTAGGTGTGGGAACCCTAGAGGGGGCGCACCCTTCTCCGCTCCTTCTATAAATAGTGAGGGTTTTGGAGCTGCCAAAGACACGAGTCTCTCTCTCTCTCTCTCTCTCCTCTCTCTCTCGGCGCAACCCTACCTCTCCACATCCTCGTTCTCCGTGGTGCTTGGCGAAGCCCTGCTGGAAACCACGCAGCTCCACCACCACCACGCCATCGTGCTGCTGCTGGAGTTGTCTTCCCCAACCTCTCCCTCCTCCTTGCTGGATCAAGGCGCGGGAGACATCACCGGGTTGCACGTGTGTTGAACGCGGAGGCGCCGTTGTTCGGCGCTTAGATCGGAATCAACCGCGATCTGAATCGCTGCGTGTACGACTCCTCCAACCGCGTTCTTGCACATCGCGACCTTCAAGGGTATGAAGATGCACCCTCTCTCTCTCGTTGCTAGTCTCTCCATAGATTGATCTTGGTGATGCGTAGAAAATTTTTAATTTCTGCAACGATCCCCAACAAGTCGTGCTTCTCGAAAAAGAAAAAATACTTGTTCTCTTTTTTTTCCTTCCGTGAGAGACACGATTTACTTCTAATGGAGGCACGTTTGCTTCCGCGAGAGGCAGAGTCGTACCTCTTCAGAAAGGAAAGAAATATGCTCCGATTCAGAGTTTTCGTCTGATTTTTTATGAAAGAAAGTTCATCGAAAACCGATCAATATGAGATCTAGTTTTGAAAATCTCAATGTAAGAAATCCAACGACGAACGGTCTAAAAGATAAAACATTTTGAATAATCTAATCTACGAAAACAGAAAAAACTCTTAGATTGCGACAACTGACACGCATGCAGTGTGTCACTTATCGCAACCTTAAAAGATGAGAATAATCTTTACAAAGAGTACTCAGTGATTTTGCAGGTTATCGTGTGCGCCTTTCCCTATGACCTGGTTGGTCAACGATTGTATCCCAAGTGAGCACAGGGAAATGTTGTGTTTCTTGGGACGTGTATACATCTGATATGAAAAAAAAGTAATAACTAAAATGGTCTAAAAAGTTTAAAAGAAAATAGAATAAACTTGAATTTTTTTGCATTAGTAGATATTCAGGAATAAAAGAACAGTGTTGACTTCGTGAAAAAAGTTGCTAGTATTACAGGTCACTATTCATATTATTTTGGCCGAAAATTTTGTTTTCTAAAAGAAGTCAGCAGGGTTTTTTTTCCTTTTGTGGAATTTTTTTTACAAGTCCAATGAAAGGTTAAGTTTATTTCAAAAATATTTTCAGAATTTTAACCATTTATTTAATTACTATTCTTTTATATATGGTGTCTTTACAGCCATAGACCAAGCATTCCTGTCCATGAGCGCAGGTTGTTCTACGTGTGCAACTGGTTGTGCTAGTTTTTCCTAAAACACCTAAAAAAGTACTAGTTTAAAAATGAAAAACCAAGTGGATGTACTAGTACGTTTTTTTAGGGGTGCAAGTGGATGTTCTAGTACTCTCTCCGTCCGAAAAAGCTTATTTTCTCAAATGGATGTATCTAGCATCAAGTTAGTGCTAGATACATCCATTTGAGGAACAAGCTTGAGACAAGCTTTTCCGGATAAGGAATACATGTGTATGTTTTTCTCCATTGTGGTTTTTGCATTCCGTTTATTATTAGCATTCAACATCCATTTGAAAATTGTTTAATCGCTGTCTTCAAAAAACATGTTCCTTACCATTCAAAAATATATACATTACATTCAAAAATGTTTGCATAAATCCAAAAAATGTTTCGTACCATTCAAAAATTGTACATGATATTTTAAAGAAATATTCTTGCGTTTCAAAAAATGTTTGTGAAATTTTTAAAAAACATATTTATACAATGTACAACAATGTTCTCGGCCATTAAAAAATTTAATGTATATTTGAAAAATGTTTAACATGTATTTAAAAAAATGTATATTTGTGTATTGAAATTTTTTCAACGTGTATCAAGATAAAGTTTCACATGTACTAAAAATGTACAATGTGTATTGAAAAAAAGGTAGACATGTGTTGAAAAAAAAACTCAAAGAAAACCGAAAAAATGTGTGGGATCCATAAAAAGAGTCGGGTTTACGGGAACTGTTAGAGGCCTTTTTTGCCCCAACTTACCTTAACCGGTAGTCTTTTTAATGATTTAAGGATACGGGATCTATTGGAGTTGCTCTAAGCCTTTCAAAAAAGGAAACTTCCATGTATCATAAATCAGATGCAGATCTCAGGAGAAATTTATGTTATACCGCATCCAAGTTGAAGGTACTGACCCTTTCGACTTGTATAATATATGCACCGTGGTAAATACAGGACAAGTTGCACGGTTGCACCGACGATGCTAATGTTCTATTTGAATTTGTATAAGATGCACAGTGTTATTTGAGCATGCAAAGAGGGGGGAATTTGCACCGATGAAAAGCTTGTAGACAAACAGAAGAAATAAGTTGTGCAGATGAACTTGTGACCGAAACAGATTCATACGGAGGATCTAAATAAGGGCAAACGAATTACTGATCGATAGTCTCAATTTCCATCTAAATAAGGGCAATCAAATTACTGATCGATGATCTCAATTTCCATTTGACATCCAAGATTGCGTACCAAATGGTGTTACAAGGAAAGAAGAGAAGGCTGACAAGATGATACATCAATGATAGTGCGCAAGAACATAGCTATCTTTATTATGTGTAGTAAAACTAAAATAATACTGTAATAATTAAGAACCTTTGAAGAGTATATGAGTCCCAGATGGTTGCAGCAATATCATGATCTGATAGCCTTGGATGTTTGTGGCCAAAGAACTGAGCTGGTGACCTTGCAGGCCATGGCCAATCACATCGGCGAACCATGTAACATTTCTTCTGGTACAACACCCAGCTGCTTGCAAGACCATCTTTCTTTATGGCATGATTCTATTGCATTGTAGGGGATGGATGTATCATGTCCATGAGGCACCAAGTCATATACTTTAAATTTTGTGAATCCTAAACCTTTGAATTGTCAGTGTGCCGACAAAATTGCCTTCTGGCTAGACAAGAAGAAATCAAGCAGTCTGGAGCTATTATTTACATGGAGTCTGTTATGGCATGGGATCACATACTAGTCATGCCATCCTGAAATGTAATGCTCTACACCTTTGGAATATGAAGATCAGCTAATGAAGACGTGAGATCTTCTCTCGATTGGGATCTCCGGCTCTGAAGTGTTGTCTGACCTCTGGTAGGGTTCCGCAATCCACTAGAAAACTGCATCTGACCCAAGCTCCCAACTGAATAGCTATGATATACACCCAACGATTGCCTGGAAGATTCCATAAGCTGGACGCTGCTGCCTCCTAATCCATGAGTCATGCTGAATGGATGGGGCTCTGACCCAGCGACAGTAGGGCTCAATGGTGTCTTTGTTCTCCCATCACCTGTGCAGAGAGGAAGGCAAGGTGAAGCAAACACAGAAGTTTGATATCTTAAGAATGATGAAAGTGTAACAATCAAATAAAACTTGCAAGATTGTTTGACTACATGTGATACAGCAAATATCTTCACATTCTCCAACAAGGTTACTGATTTTGATAGAACAGCATTACAAAATTAGAGTGCTGTAATGGGTAGAATGACTCTCAAAAATTTAGTCAAATATAGCAAGAACTCATTAAATGGAGTACAGTGAAACAATAAAAAGCATAGGTGTTCCAACATGCAACATTTCTATGTGATGCTGCTTCTTAGAAGCACTCAGTAGTAGGTTAAGTGGTGTAACAAATTTGACATTCAAAATAAAGCAGGATAATAAATTAAATAGCTTGGAAGTCCTAAAAATGGTAAATAATGGTCAATAGAAATGTGAGTAAAACAACACTAGCATTGCAGCATTTACGCGATAGAGGACTAAACACAAGATGAAAGCTCGATACAAAGACAAATTTAAGCACATACCTGAATTAATATGTCTCCATAAATGAAATCTGAAAGGCGATCCCATACCAAGCGCAGAACTGCCTCCGCTGTTCGGCCTAAAAAGCGGCAAATAGGATTTGCGGAATGACCTTGGGATGGAATTGCTAACGCACAATATTGCACATATGACCAACACGATTGAAATCAGAAACAATACAATAAGAATATTTGGGTTTATCTCCCGGTGCAGTAAAATGTATCCTTGAATATCCATCCTTGACAGTGCCTGCCCAGCCTCTAGCAAAGCAACACCAAGAGTCCAAGTGATACTGCCTGAACCAATTATCACTTGGTTATCTTTGATCTGCAGTCCCTCTCTCAGAAGTGATGTAATATAAGGAGCCCTGAAGCAATACTGCTCTATGAAAGGCTGCGGTGGAACACTACTCCTTGCAACATCCCATGGTTTTTCACAAAAGTCCTGACCTCTTTTTAGAACGTCTACAAGAGTAGCATCAGGAGTCAAATTGAAAAATTTGAAGACCACATAGAAACCAGACATTGCATAAAACTGCCCATGTGGTTGCGGAAAGGTACTGGCAAGGGCACAAGGTTGCTGGTTGCAATCAAGTCCAGAACTTGAATTGGACCACTCTGAAAGATTCACTGTTACTTTTGCAAGATCACTACATTCTTTCCACTGAGGTGCCCCAATCAGTTCAACAGCTGTCCCCTGCTTCTCTTTTCCTGTTGTCTTCGCTGAAACACTGGGACTTCCATCTTGTTTGAGTGGCTGGCAGTAAGAACAAACATAATCTTCCCTGTATCCAGTTTGTAGACAAGGATGTTTGACCTGAACTTTGCCATTACCAGCTGTTCCTCCCAGCATCTTCACCAGATGTGCCACAGATTTGTCAAATGCATCATTTAATCCATAACCAGAAAGAGAATAAGCACTAAGTTGATGATTGACAGAACCAATAGTCAGACCAACGCCTGTGTCACCTTGGACGACTTTGTCAGTCTCAAATGTCACCTGTAATGATGATCCGCCTAAATCAAGTGAACCATAAGTCATTTCAGAAGCAGAAGATGAGGTGCCAAGCATGTTCAGGTGGTGGTTAAGAGCTACCCATCCATAATAAGCTTCTTCCATGCCAGTGATGATCTTAACTCTGTCTCTACTACAAGAAAATGATGAATTCTTCAGAACATCCCAAGCCTTATCCATAAGCCACTCTGAATCTGCAGTGGGTAGCTTGCGGACACCAGCTGTGGCATATAGAAAAACAGGAGTGTGCTTGTGTGCGCGTCTTGGGATCTGCCGCTCAGCCATTTGAAGGAGGGGCTCTATTGCCTTCTTCATACCAGCTTCATTGTGAACAAGCTTGCTCAACCCAGGTTCAGTTTCCATTCGTTGATAGGCACGCCCAACTAATTTACCAGATTTTTTCTTAGGAGCATTTCCTAAAGGTTTCAAAGCAATAGGAAATGAATTTCCATCATTATGATTGATGGACCACTCGTAAACATACACTCTTGTACCAGTGCTGCCACAATCAAGAATCACATAGTATTCAGAGCTACCTTCTGAGAGAAAGACATGGAAATATCTCAAAGAAGCGTATATGAAGCACAGCAATAGGATCAGACCAACAGCCCAACCAACTGTTCTCATCCATTTCTTTTGATTTGTTGGTGACGATGGGGGCGTTCTCTCTTTGGAAAAGCTTGCTACAGGACCTTCTCTTTGAAGTGTGCGGACAGGCTTCGCACGCCCTGAGCTCAGATCACCACCAATGCTAGAGCCCCTTTCTAAAGTTTCAATTCTGGAGAAAGTTGGCAAATCTTGAAGAGAAGAAGAAAGCCGCATAGCTGCTTCTTTTGTAGTTGAGGTGGAAACTATTTAAAGATCACTGACAATGAGCGATAAGAAGTGACGTGGGCAAACAGAAGCATGAGTCATAAGTGGGCAGCATAATTAGCCAGACAGTAAATTAATCCAACACCACCTTCGCACAGCCTCTGCCTGCAACAAATTCTGTATGTTAGATAGAAAAATACTAACACGCCGACATCGAATAGATAACACTATAACTTGAAGAACCTACACGCTGGACATTCAGAAATCAGTAAACAACATTCGCATGCTCAGTACAATGCAAAGCAAAAGACTAGCGGCTAGGATAATATTATGCTAACTGAGAGATGACACTCTGGAGTACCTTGGATCAATATCGGTACTCTGAAAAATGCGTCTACTGATCAATGGACAACAGTACAGCTCCCTATATGCTACAGAAAGTAGTAATACCAACAAAACTGACACTCAGTTGTGTCGCCCAATCACAACCTAGAACACACAGCGATATCTGACTTTGGCAAAGACTAATCTGCAATCATGGAACCACAGCCAAGACGCCGACTTTCCATTGACTCGGGCCGGCACTCAGGTATCACAACCACCAAGCCACCAACAAATGGCAGGCTTAACCAGGGGGCACAGGGGTTCAGCTGAACCTCCAATTGGATCGACGCAAACAGACCTCTACAAGTAGCATTAGCTCAGGGAACCTCGTTGAGCCCTATGTGACGGGTCCAACTGCGATCGATTTGGAGAAGAAAGATCTGTTTTGGATACTTACTGAATAAAGGAAAAGACTCCAAAGCCTATACGAGACAAAAACCAAAGCGGAGATATGGCTTCCTTACCAGCGACGGGAACCGCGCCCGGACGGGACGGATCTTATCCGCTCCACGCCAGTCCAGCACCAGCGGAGCGGAGGGGGATCGGAGACTGGACTGGCGCGCGGGGCGACGGATTCGGGGATCGAGGCGGACAGGGAACGGAGAGAAGGACGGACGCCGGTAAGATCTGGGACGGAAAAGCGGGCCGCGGCCGGATCGGGCGCGGCGGCGGAGAGTAGGGCGATCCGGTCCTCCCGGGGCGAGCGAGCGAGCTAGCTGCTTCGGCGGCTGGCGGCCGGCGGCCTGTACCGGCGGAGGCGGCCGCAGCGGCGGGTTCGGTGGCAACGCGGGGGCGGGAGAGCGGCGGCGGAGGGGGGCGGTGCGGTGGAGCCGACGCAAAGGCGGGTGAGGGATAGTGGCTCACTGGCTGCGTGCGGCCCGCAACCCGCGTGCGTGCGCGACGGCGCTGCGTCGGGGCGGAGTGGGCGGACGGAATGGGAACCCAACGAGGAGAGACGAGCTTGACCTGGACCAAACCAAACCTGGCTAGCATCACCGACCCACGATGTCTTGCCGATGAACGGACGACGTGACGAGAGAGGTGCGGCCGGCTCCCCCAATCCCAAGGCCCCAAGCCCCAACAAACAACCTGTCAAATTCTTAAAAAAAAAAAACTGTCAAACAAAAATCCTCCAGCGAACGAAGCTAAAGAAAACAAAGCATACAACGTCATCACCAGGATACGTCGTGAGGATAGATCGAAACACCAGAAGAGAATTCACCGGCTGTCGAGATATAGAGCCAACGTCCTTTAGAACGAAACAGCAACACAATAATCCTGACGTTGGCATCACTGATCTTGGTCATGAAGGCATCCCGGGGTGAGAATGGAGCCACGGGGTTTCTATTATCTACGGCACCGTCCCCCTCAACACATCAACGCCAAGAAGACACAAATGTAACATGAAGGAAACTAAGAAATGTACTCTAATGTCAACTCGTGCTTCCTCTCACTTCCTAGTGCTAAAGAGATCACCAATGGACAATGCAGAAAACCAAGTTGAACACAATAGGGTGCCAAACTCGGTTCAAACGGTATTATCTCCTCCACACCGACGCCCAAAGAGAAGTGTGTGCTTATAACAGTTGCTTCCCCGAGGCTTTAACACTGGTCTATTACCAACAAAACATTATCGACCATTGTAAATAGTTATCAATGTTACAACTTTTGGGCAACATTGGTAATTGCTGGGTGGATGCTTCATGGCCAGTCGTAAAGGATGAGAGAATGGC